CAGCCTGGGGAGGGTCGGGCAGGGCCGTCCCGGGGGTCGACGGCTGCCCCGGCCCGCCCCTCGGGGGGGCATTCGGTGTGGGGGGGGGGGGCTGCTGTCCGGGAGAGGGGTTGTACCCGGGGCGGGGGATGACGACACACGGGACAACCGTGGAGCGAGTGATGCTATTTAAACTCAACGTAAAGACAAACAAAAGTCCGCAGAGAGAGAATGTTTCATTTCAAAAGGGCGAGGATTGAAAAAAATTAATAAATTTGTTCAGACACACCCCCTCCCCCCCAAACTCAGAAGCAGCAGATTTCCTTAACTCGGAGGTGCAAAAATTACCCCAAACTGCAGCATGCCTCTCCCCTTCCCACCTGTGCTCCCGGGGAGGTGGGGGAGAAGGCGAACGCTTTATTCCCGGCTTCTTTCCTCAAGGATGTCCTGGCCGGGGTGCCGAAGCCCCAAGGAGTCTCCCCTGCGCCGGGGGTCAGACGAAACGTACCGTGAGGGTCCATGCCGGCCCCGAAAACGGAGGGATGCCTCACCGGCGCGGGGCAGGACAGAGCAGGGTCTGGGGTAAGTCTGAGCCCAAACGGCGGTAACTGGGGGACAGGCGTCGGGGTTACGCCGTAAGGTCAGCCTTAAATCATGGCACGGAGGGAGCGGGGTCAAGGTTGAGGGGCTCAGCGCTGGGTACGGGGGTCAAAACAAAGGCTGGAGGGATGAGCCGGCAGAGTTGGGGCGCAGCGGGAGGGCGGGGGGCCAGCACGTTTGGGTTTTGGGGAACAGCAGCTGCGGTGAGGTCGGGGACGCTGCGGAGCGGGGAGCAGGAGAGAGCGGAGATCAGGGTGAAAGCGGCCAAAGCCCGGCCAAGTCTGTGCCAAAAAAGGGTCCGGCGTCAGCCCCGGCGCCCCACGCCGCGGCTGGACCTCGGCAGCCGGGCAGGTTGAGTCTGAGCACCTCCGGCGCCGAAGAAGCGAGGGCTTTGCCCCAGGTGCCGTGCTCGCACCGGCACGGCCCCAGCCGCAGGAGCCGGAGCCGGGCTTCTCTTCCGCAGCCCCCTCCTCTTCTGTAAGGCACGGTGGGGGCTCGGGTCCCGTGTTGGCACGCGCCGCCCTCAGCGTGACATCATCCGCACGAACTCTGCCGGCAGGAGAATACGTACAGAACATCCCAAATATTCCCGGGGATATTCCTGGCCCCCTCCCCGGCTCCTACCTTCGAAGTCCACCAGGCCGTCCCCGTTGAGATCCACGTCCTTGAGGATCTCGTCTACCTCCCGGTAGTTGAGCTGCTGCCCCAGAAGCTTGCGCATGGCCTCCCGCAGCTCCGCCATGCTGATCTGCCCGTCCCCGTTGGTGTCGAACTGCACGGCAAGCGCCTGTCGGCGACAGCCGCCCTCGGCGTGCCGGTGGCTTGCCAGCCTGCCCGCGCCCGGGCTGTCCCCCCCGCCCCGATCCCTGTCCCCTCACCTCACGGAAGGCGTCGCGCAGCTCCTTGATCCCGATCATGTCCGCCGTCTCCGCCAGCATCTTGGGGCCCATCAGCTCCACGAAATCATCAAAATCCACCTTGCCCCCGGCTGCGAGGAGAAGGGAGGGGGTGTCACCGGGGGATGAGGAGGCAGGGATCGCCGGGGGCAAGCCCGGCTGCCGGCGGGGCGGAGGGGGGCCCCCCCGCGCCCCGCCACGTACTGATCTGCTGGGACAGCTCGATGAGCTCCATCTCGGTGGGCATGTAGCCCATGGTCCTCATGCACTCGCCCAGGTCCTTGTAGCTGATGTACCCGTCGCGGTCCTTGTCGAACTCCCGGAAGGCCTGCTTCAGCTCTGAGGGCAGCGCGGTGTCACCGCCGGCACCGCTGCCCGCTCCCACCCGCCCGTCGCCCCGCTGCAGCCAGGGGAGCTCCCAACCGGGGCGAAGACCGTCCCCGTCCCCATCCCCTCGGGGCGCAGCACCTCACCTTCGATCTCTTCGGGCCGCAGCTCTCGGTCCTGGGAAAGAGAAAGCGGGAAGAGTCAAAAGGAGGGATCCTTCTCCCACAGATCCCCCACCCAGGAATCCTGCCTTAAATCCCCCCGCCGGCTCGCGGGCGATGGCAGGGCGCAGCCGCCAACGCGGTGCCCGGTGCGGCGGGCGCGCGTGGTGCGCGGGGAGGGGGCGGGCGCCTACCAGCTGGGTGATGGCGATGCTTTGCCGCAGGAAGATGCAGGCCGGCCCCACCAGCCCCTGCAGCACCGAATAATTCTGCAGTGGTGGAGACTGCGCCGCCTCCGCCGCTTCCTCGGGGTCACCGGCGCCGGGGACCGGGGGACCGGAGCGCGGCTTCCCATCCTGCGGGCAGAGCGGGCATCAGCGGCGAGGCGGGGGGGGGCCGAGCCAGGGGTCCCCCCCCTCCTCCTGCCCCCGGGGCCGGCCTTACCTTAGGGAGCCTCCGCTCAGGGGTCTTGGTGCAGTTGCCCATGGCTGGGGGCTGCCCCCGCGCCGCAGGGCATGCCTGGCCCCGGGGGGCTGGCTGGCGCAGTCCTGGGGGCTGCCACCCCGCCGGGGTGAGCCGGGGCCAGGGGGGGTGTGATAGCGGCCGTGGCTGCGTGGGGATTTGAGGTTTTTATGGAATATCTGGGGATATGCAGGGCAGGCGGGGGGGGGTGCGCCGCGCCCGCGCACACACATAATCCCCCGGATTATTCCCCGCTCGGCCGCCCTGCTCCAGATGTGGGGAGCCGCCCAGCTGTTCCCCGGTTCCCCAGCCTCCCCGTGGGGGCACTCAGGGCCCCCTCCCTCCCTCCGGTGCCCGGCCATACCCCGGCCCTCTCCCCTGCCGCCAGTTACCTGCCCAAAAGCCGGGGGCGGTTGGAGCCCCGGCTCCTCGCCGGCCCACCGACGCTCCGTGGGGGACACGCTGCCTTGGCTGGGCTGACCCGGGTTACCGGCGGTGCCGGGTCCCCC